CCCCCTCCATCCCTCTCTCCCTCTCTCCCTCTCCCTCTCCCCCCTCTCTCTCTCCCTCCCTCCCCCTCCCTCTCTCCAAGTTAGAAAGGTAGTCTTTGCTCCGCCAGGTGAAGTTGCTGGAGATCTAAAACAGCATTTGTGCATTTGTGCTCAGAGTGTTTCCACCTCATAAGAGAAACCGGGATGAGTAGATATGCACGTTTGCCTGTCTGTTTGTGTGTCTCTGTGTGTGTGTGTTCGCGCGTGTGCCTATGTCTCTCTCTGTGTGTTCAACCCTAATTAACTCTGAATTCAGAGGCTTTGCTTATTCGCAGAGAATTCAGGTGGAGAGCCATCCAAATAAATTAAACATACTTTTCTTTTGTTATGCAAATATCGTGGATGATTGCAAAATAGATTAAACATCTCAAACTGGGTTTGTTTCCCTTGTTCCATGTCACCGGCATCATTTAATATACATGATATATAAAGGAAAGACAGCTATATCCCAGCAGAAGGGGGGAGGGAGTGGGGAAGGGAGGGAGAGACGGAGGGAGAGAATTAATTCCTTGGTTTGTGTATAAACCACATAAAATGATCAGATTATTTTATTTGTTTATCTCATTTATATAGCCACTTATCTCTCAGGCAATGTACAACAAAACTAAAACAAAACTCTCTTATATTTGAGATGCTTGCCTATTAATCACTGTTAATAATAGAAGCAAGAATTTACATTTTTCAACATGACTTCTGTATATTCAAGTCACTGTACAAGTCTTAAACTGAGCAACTTCAAATACCTTTTAAAAAGGAAAGATTTCTGTGCCTTCACTTTATATCTAGAGTCTAGGATCAATCACCAGAGATTAGTGATTTGACCACTAGGTTTTGAGAAAAGGCAATATTATATGAATTAGCACTTTATAATAACATGTGAAAACATTATTTTCCTTCTTCATTAAGCCCAATTTGCATTATTTTCTTACAACTAAAAAGTCAGTTCAAAGTTTGAAAAGACTTTCCTTCTTCTCCAGTGTGAAGAACTGAAGAATTGGGAAAATGAAAATTACAAACCTGACCATTTACTTTGGAACAATCCTTATTTAACTCAGTGGGAGTTACTTCCATTATAAGGATAAATAAGATATCGATGATATAATAAACTGTAATGGACATATACATGGAGAGAGGAAATATGAGAATGTATTAAGGATAACATGGTAAATATATTGACAATCAAGTCCTATGCTATACAGAGATTCTAAGGTTACTGTAAAACTGTAAAACTACATGTACAATTATGCTATCACAGAATTACACATCTCTAAATTTTAAACATTTTATAGAGAACAAGAAAAACCAACATCTTCTAAGGCAATATATTCCATTCCATTCTGTATTTTATTGATTGAACAATGTGTATATGTAATTTGAATCCTTTAATTTAAATCCTACGGCACAGAAACACTGGAATATATGATTGTTCTTAATGTTTTCCTCCTCCTCTGCATCCAAGTTCTTCCCCTATTTTCATAGGATTTGGTCTTTACATTATTTTTATAGCCTTTCTTCAAACATATTTCAGTATGTCAATAACCATTTTCAAGTGTATTGTCTAAAACCAGACAAAAAATTTCTAGCGCAACCAGATTAAAGCAGAACAAAATTGGAGCAGTCAGTCTCCTAATCTAAAGAATGCACAGTATTTCTAGAGTGGAAATGAAAATCGCATCAACACATTAATTCGTTTATTTATTTATTTGGTATTCCACAAATCATCACTGATTCATATTTAGCTTCTCCTCTACTAACTTCTCTAGTTGCTTTGCAAACGCAGTGTTTCTAAGTCACGTTGGCCATTTAAGAGTCAATGCTGAAGTTTACATTTAAGTCTAGAAATGCATGCTCCAAGTGTTGACCTAGTGCTCCAAAACATGTGATATGATGGTTAAAGTCATGAACTCAGATCAGAAAGCCCCAGATTCAAGCAGTTACTTAATCATCCAAGTGGGTGATGTTGGGCCAGGCATTATCTTTCCCTCTACCCTCAAAGAGTCATTTATCAAAAATTAAAATTAGGGGAGATCCCTTGTGTCTAACCTGGAGTTTCTTGGTGGAAAAAGATGGGATGCAACTGCAAAAGTTAAAGTTTTATTTATTTTCAGTTAAAATATATATTTCTGTGTCTTAAAATGATAGCTACCTCTTCTAAATTGCAGAACCTTTTTTTATTCCCTTAGTTAACATGTTAGAGGGCAATGAAAGTAGGAACTTTCTTCTAAATTTAATCTTCAATTTGACAATTCTATGAATTTTAGTATTTTTGAAAAGTAATGTTTGAGAAAGGTGCTCAGTCAAGTTTTTAATTTTACTTGTTACTAATCTGTATTACCTCTGACTTACAAACTGCACATAGAGCCACATAATTCTGGGACTGGTTGACGCCCTGCAAGGCAGGGTACAGTTGGCCAAAATGGCAGAGATGGGGGATTTGGAGGGACCAAGCCCAGAATGGCTTGGATTGAGGTGGATCCTCAGCTAACAGCTATTGGAATTCATTTAACAATGGCAATGGGGAGTGCCAGGATAGCCACCACTAAGTGATGCAGTCCTGTGAACTCATGCTCTATCACTCCATTGCTTAGCAGTGGAACTTCCACTTCCAGTTGTGGTTGTAAGTCAAGGATTACATACTAACTAGATAGATAGATAGATAGATAGATAGATAGATAGATAGATAGATAGATAGATAGATAGATAGATAGATAGATAGATAGAGGTAGGTAGGTAGGTAGGTAGGTAGGTAGATGATAGATAGATAAATAGATAGATGATAGATAGATAAATATAAATACATGCATACATATTTCAGTCTTTATGTAAAAGAGACACATACATTTTTGATTGCAAGCAGGCAGCAGCAGAAGTTGACATTGACCGAGTCTGATTTTGAAAATGTTAAGCAGAACTGCAATTGTGCTTTAATAGGACAACATTATGGTTATAGACTAAACCAGGAAATGAAAAAGAAGAAGGCAATGGCAATTCAACTCTGTAAGGTTGCCAAAGAAATAGACATGGACTTGTTCATGCAGTCACAAGGAATCCAGAGGGGGGGGGAATTATGTCCTTTTTACCAAAAAGTGACACTTTTAATGTATATCCGAAACATAGGTTTCAGGAATATTATACTTTAAATTGTATTGGAAAGACTCTTTTAGTGCTCCTCTTGTCAATGTCATAGATGCTACTTCTTGCTTGCTGTGATGTGGAAGTTCACTAAATGCGGAATAATTTTTTAGATGGGCAGGAAGTTTACATGAAAAGCACTGTAAAATCAGGCAGCTTTGGATTCTGTCAACTCCATTTTATTTATTCCATGGACAAGCTGAATTTATATAATTTCATTCATGTATTTATTGCTAGATTTATACACTGGGTCCTTGGCCCTAGCGCCTTGGCCATGATACCCCTCTGATCTCCAGGGTAATTACTGCTAGAAATTAGCCTGCCATGTAAGTTTATCCAGCTATGTCATCTTTGAGTTTCTATGAGGTGCTCATGTTTCAATCCAACCATTGCCATGGCAATCTGCATTAGCTCTGTTCTTGGGTGTTGTGCTAGTATATCTGTCCTACAAGAGTGGCTCTTTATACTATGGAGTTCTAACTCACAAGAAGAACATAGCTCACAAGACCAGAGTAGGGCTACAAGAGGAGCTCTAAATGGTAGGAAAGCATCAGGGAAGCCAACACCAAGTCCATGCCTCAGAAATACAGGCTGTAGCATATAATTAGAAGAACCTATTTGGGTAGGAATACTCAAGCAATCATCTGAGATCCTAGTCCAAGTAAGAAAGTTTGGGCACATACTGCATACACCTTCATTTTTAAAGACTAAGAAAAGTTATAGTCAGCATTCTATCCAACATTTGACTGCCTTTTGCCCAAAGCTGTTCATGCATAAATAAACAGAGGATTCTATACAAGCTTAGTCCAGGCTTGAAAACTCAATAGTACTTCCATTCTTATAGACGATGAGTTGTGGGTTATCTTCATGAACTGGTGCTGGGATACATGTTCCTAGCTGGTCAGGGGTGGGATTCCACTGGTATAACAACTG